GTTAGAACGGATGGGAAGGGGAAGGGAAGACCAGACTCTTAGGAACATGGATTGAAACATTTGGGGCATCCTTGGACTTGTGCCTATTCGTCTGTGTCTGGGCCCCTTCAATGACCACACCATGACCTGCCGGCCCGGTTCGGCCGCAGCTCCCAGCAGCGTTTCGCGCGCGGCCCGTGTGTCTTCGCGGTCTCTCGCCGTACCGCCGACCCCGGGGGCCCAAGCTGCGGGGCGGGCAAGAAGAGACGGAGCGGGCTCGGCTCCGAAAGCCAGTCTGCGATCCGTGTTCATGCATTGTTTTGCCAATGGGCGCGGACCCTCGCACACCGCCCCCCCCCCCGACATGGAGCAGATCTTGGCTGTTTGGGGCGCCTGTTTCGAGCAGGAGTCCCTCCCCCACGGGACTCACTGCTGCAGACAGTCCCACTAAGCAGAGGTCCGGGGCCAGACCCCCCCCCCTCCGCCCAATGCGGAAACGCCGAATAAGAACACGTTCATTTTCACAAACCAGTTTCTTCAAACACGGGCATCACAACACCATGGTATGATGATGTACATTCAAGGCATGGGGTCAGCTCGAAGATAAATTTGCATATTTCGATATGCTCTTCTGAAAATTCGCAGGGCGATGTAATTAGTATTATTTCTACTGTGTGTCCCCACCCCTTCCCCCCCTTCCTGTTCCGCCACACGCAGCATGCCAGTTTTCGTGTTCTTCCAAGCGGGAGTGTGTTCCCAAGCGCTCGCCCTCTCTCAGAGGACCGCCCCTCAGCGGGCTGGAACGCGAGCCGCATTCACATTCGCATTTGCATGTTTCTCTCCCCCATCCCCGAGTTCTGCCCGAAAAGTTTTGGCCGCTCAGTGGGGGAAACGTTGGAAGGCCCCCCCGCGGGCTATTCGGACGCACCCCTGTCGAGGATGTACGCCCCCCCATCATACATCCCAGGGTGGTGCCCCACCCAAATTGTTGGTCCATTCGAGAGCCCCACGAAGCCTGGGATAGGGGTCGATGTATCCCCTGTTACAGTGCGATGTTTCGTCGCTTGAGGTGCCTCTGGGGGCCTCTTTGGCGCATGTTGCGGCATCTTGGAGGCCTTTCGGGGGGCTGCTTGGACCTCAGCTGCCAGACGCACACGAGCTATTCTCGGTTGCTGCAGCCTGCCGTTGCTTAGCGTGTGTCGCGAGCCGCTTCACTGCGCCTGAGCTGAGCCCCGACGGCCATGTAGCACCTCCAGCACTGCGTGATCCCTCATGGCGCCCAGCCCCTGTCAGCCAAAGAGGTGCGTGACCGAAGACTTCGGCGGCAGAAACCGTGGCGTGACCGATGACCGAAAGTGAACATCGTACTGTGTGAACTCTCGGGCGGATTTCGGGGCACAGTTTCGGCCACTGCACCCCCGCCTGACAGTCACCACCCACCAAGCCATCCCCGCCCGGTGTGCGGGGGGGGGGCCGCCGGGGACCACGACAAGACACAGGTGGAACCCGTCGCCCCCCCGACCCGAAGTTTGGGTCTCGAGAGGGGTGGGGGTGGTCCGGTAGGTGTCAGGTCGCGGCGAGGCTGCGCGAGATCCCGGGCGCCCGGTCCGGCAGGCGGGCGCCGCGGGCTCCCGGCAGGCGGGCGCGCCCGCCGGGCGCTGCCGGGGGAGCTCCGCGCCGTCGCGCGGGCTCGCGGTCTGAGGGAGGAGAGGAGGTCCTGAAGGACACGGGTCCGGGGTTCTTTCGCCGTCTTCGGGCCCCCGGGGCCCTCCACGGGCCCCGGGGCCATCAGAAGACCATTCGGGATGAGAAGCTTGTCCTGGGGGAAGGCCCCAGGGTCCAGGAAACCCGTTTCCCTCAGGACCCCTTCCCCCACATGTTGAGGGGAGGGGGATGGACAAGCTAGGTGCGCTAGCGTCACATCTGACGTCCGACCCCTCCCTCCCATCCCTTACTATGGCGTAGATCTCATCCATTCGCACAGTCGGATGTCGAGCAGAGCAATGATCCCAAGAGGGTACGCGATGGATTGAAAAGCATGGATGGGGAGGGAGGAGGGACTCCCCCTCCTGCCCTGTCTGCCCCCTCCGGCCCCCCTCCTCCAGGCCGACGGCGGCGCGGGCCCGCCAGCGCCGACGGAAGGCGCGCCGACGGGGCGCGGTCCGCAGACGTCTGGCGGGCTGCGTGTGTGTGTGTGTGTGTGAGTGAGTGTGTGTGTGTGTGTTTGTGTGTTTGTGTGTTTGTGTGTGTGTGATTGTGTGTGTGTGTTTGTGTTTGTGGGTGTGTGGTCGTGTGGGTGCGTGCGTGCGTGCGTGCGTGCGTGCGTGCGTGCGTGCGTGCGTGCGTGCGTGCGTGCGTGTGCGTGTGCGTTTGCGTGTGCGTGTTCCATGTGTGTTGTCTTGATCGTTCTGACATCCTGCTTACCTCTCTGCCTTATCCCCCCTGGAACTCCTCCATTCCCAGTGCCTTGCCTCCGTCCACGTATGATCATCCTCTCTCTTGTCACAGCAGTCGTGCCCACTCTCCTCATCGCCCTCCTCCTTGGCCCGTCCTGCCGCGCACGCTGCCCGCAGCAAGCTTGGATCAAACCTGTTAAACACCATCGGAGCGGGGGCCTGGCTGGAGCTCGCTTCAATTATTGTGTCATGAGCGCGGGGTCCAGCAGCACGGCGCAGCGCATCATGGGGTGGGCTGACACGGTGGCCAGCCCCGCGGAGATCACCCTCGTCGTCCGTGGCTTGCCAGCTGATCTCACCATGTTGAGGCTGAGGCATCGCACCACGAACCCAGGCCTCCCAGGTGAGGTCGGAGGAGATGGCGTCGGAGGATCACGCCCCACCGCCGATGCACCAGCGATGCGGCTCAATGTGGAAACCCGGCTTTCTCCGCGCCGACGTCGCTGATGCATCGCCGGCGTCGCATCAGTGATGCATCGACGATATGGCTCGATCATCCGGCCGCATCTATTCTGACCCCATCTGGGAGGTCTCTCTAATGAAGACAAAGGTCGAAGAAGGAAGAACGGCACAAGCATAAATTGTTGGCGCTCCGTGCGGATTTCTTGGATCCGCGTTGGGCCCCATGGCGGCGGAGGCCCCCGGCGCGCTCCGCGCGCCAGGGAGGGGGGCCCAGCGCAGATGCAATAGATCCGTGCGGAGCGCCAAACGTTTATGGTTGTGGCGTTTCTGCTCCTTCTAGGGGCCACATGCGAGCCCTACCCCTATCCCCCACGATTTCTGGGGGGGAGGGTGGGATGCACTTCGTTCGGGAGCTCACGAGCGAAGTGAACCCCACCCTCCCCCTCAGAAATCGTGGGGGGCAGGGGCAGGGCTCGCATGTGGCCCCCTATCCTTCTTCCAACGAAGACGCAGGGGGTTGGGGGTCCTCCATCCCTTTGGCCGCGCGCCTTTCCCCATGCCCTGCGCTTCCCTTCCCCCTGTCCGTCACCCCCTCCTTCTCCCGGGGCCCTCCCCCCCCGATCCCCCTCCCACTTCCCCTGTCCCCACACCCCGCCCTCCGCCGCCTTCTGCCGCGCCTTCTTCTCTGTGTGGGCTGGGGGTCCTTCTATGTGTGTCCCGGCGTGCACCTCGGGGGTAGGGGCAGGGCTCGCATGTGGCCCCCTATCCTTCTTCCAACGAAGACGCAGGGGGTTGGGGGTCCTTCTGTGTGTGTCCCGGCGTGCCCCTCGGGGGGCCCTCCCCCGGGGGCGCCGGGCAGCGTCGAGACACTGCGCGGGACGGAGCGCCGATCCCGGGGGGAGCCCTGGGGCCCAGGGCCCGCTGCCTTCGGGGCCCCTCTGCCTCCGCATCGTCTACTCCTCCTCCGCCTCCTCTTTCTTAGCCAGGCCGCCAAGCGATCCCGCTGAGGCGCTCAGCTCCGCGCCTCCTCCTCCTCCTCCTCCTCCTCCTCCTCCTCCTCCGCCTCCTCCTCCTCCTCCTCCTCCTCCGCCTCCTCCTCCTCCTCCTCCTCCTCCTCCTCCTCCTCCTCCTCCTCCTCCTCCTCCTCCTCTACTCCAGAAGGGAGGGGGTCTCATTTCGGGGGGGTCTCTTCCAGGCTATCTTGGAGGGCCTGGGGGGGTCTGGGGACGGTGTTCTGGAGGGCTCTCCCACGGGGGGGGTCTGAAATGGCTTGTCTTGGAGGGTCCAGACCCCCTCCCTTTTATTACGAAATCTGGAGTAAGCTATCACCAACCCCACTTGAGCGTCCAGAATCGGGCCAGACGAAAGGGAGGGATTGGGAAAGGGGGGGTTTCAAAATTTGCGGCATGCAGCTGGTTTCGGCCCCACCGAGGTGCCCAGTCCTCGATACATGGCCGCCTCCGGCGCCGGGAGGCGCCAGGAAAATCAGCTACGTGAGCTGATTCTCAACCCCCCACCTTTGCTATCCCCCCTTTGCCCGACCCGACAAAAGGGATCAATGGGGACGTGGATTAGTCACGGGTCCCCTTTCCATATGAGATCGCGGATTTCCGCCGCCGAGCGAGGCGGCACCGGCCGCATTTTGGGAAGGGCACCTCCCCCGATCCATGGATTTGGCGACCGCGCGCCAAGTCCATGGATCGCTAATCCATGTTTGCGCGCCCCCGAGATTGCGCCGACATTGGCGCGCAAGTTGCCCGCGTAAGGTCGCGCGTAAGCGCCCTTGCCTCCGATCTTGCATGCCGCGCTGGCGGCCCGCGTGAGCCGCGGCGTAAGGTCGCTATGCCATCTTGCCTAAGGCCCGTTCTTTCCGTCGCTCACTTGGCACGACGAGAACGACGGCGGCGAAGACGACAAGGATAAGGACGACGACCTCTGAACCTCTTCCTGGAGGCTCAGACCCCGTGCGCTGGACTGTCATGGAGCCAACATCGCAGAGCGGATTCCGCTCGGGAAACAATGAGATGGGCCCGAATTGTCCTGGAGAGTTTCGCTACGGATTTCGAAGTGAATTCCGTGCGGATCTTTTGGGGCCAGGAATGCAGACTACAACACATCCACGTAAAATTCACGTCGTTTTTCGCTCGCCGTTTCGGAGTTTTGCATTGACAGAAATCCACGCACATATCCACTGCAGCGCGTCTGCAAGGTCTGTGCAATGAGGAATGGGGGGGCAACGACACACCACCACACCACGCCCACATGGAGGAGGGGCGAGGACCCATCGGGGGCGGGGCGATCCCATCAGCATTCGGGGGCCGAACCCTGGAACATAGATCCCCACCTAGTTGAGTAAGTCGGCCAGTGGGGCCAAGGCCATGCCAGTGGGATTAGAGAACGGATCAACGAGACTCACTCCCTCATGTCAAGGCGCTACATCAGCTCGCTCGGCTTCGACCAATCATACGATTACTTGTACCTGCCCCGCTGCTTGCGGACGCACCGCTGCAAGGGGTACGCGTTCACCAACCTCGTCAGCCCCGAGGTCGCCCAGAGCTTTATCTCGAGCCTAAGCTCCCAACTGATCGGGGGGCACGCGCTGAAGTTCTCGATCGCGGACACGCAGGGGCTGGCCAAGAACATCCTCAAGTGGTACCGCGGGCACTCGCGCCACGTACGGGACCCCGAGGTGCTGCCCTTCATCCGGCCGTTGCGGGCCCTGGGGCTCAGCAGCCCCGCCCAGTTGCTGCAGCTGGCGGGGCCCGCCGGCGACGAGCTGCCCGCCCCGCCGCCACCCCGGGGCGCCGAGCCCGCTCCCGGCAGCGGGGGTCTGGGCCTCCTAGGTGGGGTCCGAGTATAGATGGGGCCGGAGGATCGCGCCGGATCGCCGATCCGATGAACTGGCGACGCGGCGCGTCGCCGCTGCATCGCCGCTGCATCGCCGATGCATCGCCGATGCATCCCCGCGCCGACGTCGCGACGCGGCGCGATCCTTCGACCCCAGGCGCTCGGACCCCATCTGGGAGGCCTCCAGGGGGGGAGCTCTGCCGCGGGCCCGACGGCGCCGCGCATCCCACGGGCTGCGACGGCCGCCAGGGGCACCGCCCGGTACCGCTGGCGGCGCCCCGCCGCAGTCCCGCCGGCGCCGCGGCCGCAGCCGGCGGCGGCGGCGGCGCGGGCAGCGCGCCGCTGTGGGGGTGGGCTGCGGCGGCCGCCTGCGGCGGCGGCGGCGCGCCGTGCGCCGCGCGGGGCGGCGCCCCGGGCGCTGCGGGGGCTGCGCCCGCGTCAGGGGGGCCGAAAGCGGCAGCACGTCGAAGAGGGAGAAACAGAAGAAGCCACGGTGCAAACACAGAACCTGTGGGCCCTCCGTGCGGGCTTCTCGGATCCGCGCTGGGCCAGGCCCCCCCCCCTCCCGCGGCGCCTCCCGCGCTACCCCTGGCGCGCTCCGCGCGCCGGGGAGGGGGGTCTGGCGCAGACCCAAGGAATCTGCGCGGAGCGCCAAAAGCTTATATGTTTATGCTAGGCTTGTTGTTGGTCTAAGATGGGTAGAACTCAGGGGCTCTGGGTGCCCGGGGGTCGCGGGCGAGGATCTCGGGGGCAGCGTTCAGGGGGTGGATCGGCCTGCGGAGGTGTTCGTGAAGGTTCCTGGCAGCTCTCCACCCCCGGGGTGCTCTCCAGCGGGTGCGCCTCGCCGGGAGCGTTCTGGTGGGGCCGGGATCGTCCCGAACGGTCGCCAGCTATGACCCGAAGCCAACGACATCGGGTGGGACAGGCTGTGTGGGGACGCACGGGCCCCGAGTCGTCCGTGGATCGCCGATAGGGGGGCCCTTTGGCCCACCCCGCCCAGGAGCGCGCGGATTTGCGATCGGGGGCCTGTCGCCAGTCTATCGGCGACGCCTCGCCGATTCCAGCTCGATGCGTCCCCCACCTGTCAGGAGGGAAAGAAACACACAGACACAATTAATCGTCGATTCCCCAGAAAATATGGGAAAATATGGGAAGTGGGGGGGGGAAGACAAAAGCCAAGAAAATATGGGAAAATATGGGAGATGTTTTATTTGAATGTATTTAATGTGTGTCCTGGGCCCCTTCACTCTTGGGGGACCGCGCTCATTTCTTGGGTCGGCGCTGGGCTTCCCTGGCGGCGCCTCTGGCGCCTGCGGTGCTCCGGGGAGGGGGCGGGGTCAGCGCCGATCCAAGAAATCCGCGCGGGCCTCGGAGAAGACACGCTCGTGCCGCTTGCTGCCCCTCTACAGCAGCCGCGCCCGGCCGCCGCTCCCAGCTCGTGCTCGATGGCGTTACTATTCGCCACCACCCAGGCTACAGCGAGGGGTACGTGGTGTCGCTGTGATCGCCGCCGTGGTCCCTGCGGCGGTCTGCGCAGCCGCCAATTGTCCCTGACTCTCTGGCGCATCAGCTGTATCTGCGAAGCCACGAGCGCTGTGTTGTGGTCGTGGATTGGAGGAGTTTGGGCGACCGAGTTGCCATGATGCATGAGCCGGCTTGCACGAGTGAGTTGACTCGAGCGGATCTTCCACACGCATGTCAACACACGCTGTCCTCTCATTTTGCAGTGGGCGTTCACGGTGTCTCTGGACACCATGAACGCCAACCGCCAGCCACCGCTCTCGCCCGTTTGCACAATGACCAGCCCTGGCCGGGCCCATCCTCGGTCCTGAAACACGTTGGCTCCAACAATGGCGCCGTTCGGGCCCGACGAAAGGGGGGGATACGGAAAGGGGGGGTTACGAAATTTGCTGCATGTAGCTGGTTTCGGCCCCACTGAGGGGCCACTTCCTCGATGCATGGCCGCCTCCGGCGCCGGGAGGCGCCGGGAAAATCAGCTACGTGAGCTGATTCTCCCCCCCCCCTTAGGAGGGCTAGAAACAAGCACCAGGACGTTGACGTCCTAATTCCTGTCGAGGTTTGAAGCAGTCCAGATAGATCTATAGGTCTGGAGTGCTATTTTTTAGCGCTGGAAAGTCAGGGTTGCTATCCCCCCCTTTCGCCCGGCCCTAGCCGTTGGGGCACAGCTTTGCCGAGCTCCTCGCCGGGGCGCGGCAGACATCTCCGCCGAGGCCCCCGCCGAGCTCACCGCCCGGTGCGCAGAGGCCCCACGTGGTCCAGGCCACGCCGGCCTACATCTCTGCCGCAGAGTCCCGCGCACGCCGCCCAGATTTTTATCGTTTTGTTCACATACTGGGGGGACAGAAAGTGACACAAACATAAAAACTCGGAGGTCCGCGCGGGTTTCTCGGATCGGTGCTGGGGCCCCCCAGCGGCGCCTCCGGCGCCGCCCCTGGCGCGCTCCGCGCGCCAGGGAGGGGGGTCCAGCGCCGATCAGAGGAATCCGCGCGGACCTCCGAGTTTTGATGTTTATGCTACTTTTTTTGTTGTTCCCCTAACACAGTTTTCGATGGCGCCCTATGTCGGCGACATGGATTCGGCGACATCGAGCTGCCTTCCAGATGGGGTCGGCTCCAGGCTCGTCCTGGTCCTGGGTGTCGTTCCCTTCTCTGCCCCATGCTGTCGGCGACGCTGGGAGACGGTATCCTCTTGGCTAGCCGAAAGCGGCGGGAAGCGACCATCGTAGCTTCTTATCACCCTCGGTCTGGGTCAGGGCTTGTGGCTGGCAGGCCAGAGGGGCATCGCTTCGAGAGTTTCCGATCTTGCCCTGGCCGTTGGGGTCCGAGTAGACGGGGTCGGTGGATCGCGCCGCATCGCCGATGCATCTGGAGTCAACTCGATGCGGAACCCAGCTTTCTCCGCGCGGTTGTCGCCGACGCATTGTCGACGTCGTCGATGCATCGGCGATGAGGTACGATCCTCCGACCACATCGACTCGGGGCCCCATTGGGGAGGCCTGTGATGTAAGAGCCTTGCGTGAACGCGAGTGGTTTGTTTCAAGCTGTGCAGGTGCGGTGCAGGTGCGGCCGCCTGCGGGGAGCTGCCCGACACCCCAAAAGAATCCGGGAGCCTTCCGAAGAATCTGGGAGCCTTGGGCCATTTGAGCGCTCTTGGAGCCCAGCATCATTCGAGCCTGTCAGCATGCCCCGATCGACACTTCAAGTCTCGGCGCCAGGCGTCCGAGCGCCAGCGCAACGGGGTGTCAGTGCGCGTGTGCGTTCACTGAGAAGGGGTACCATCAAGGAGACGGAGAACGGAGAAAGGATGCCTCGATGTAAGCATCGTGTAGTGGGAAGTCTTCGTTTCGATTAGCGTGCGTTAGCGTCTGGCAATCGATGAGACCGACTGGCGCCGATTTAGCGTCGCTGTGAGTCGACTAGCGTCGATTCGCAAGAGCTAGCACGATGACATGGGAGGCTATCAGGAGTTGCCACAGAACTCTACCGCGCGACGCGAGTGTATATATATACATGTATATATATATACACATACAAGACTACAGTGGCGCTTCGCGCCATGCACCTTGGTCCTTGAAGTTTGGAATGCAGGCGGAATGGCAGGAAGGTCAAGCCGACAAGTTAGCGATAACTCCTGGTTGCCTTTTCCGGCATCGCCGCTATAATGATGTTATTCGTTATTTTTCTTCTATGTTTATTGTTCTTTATGTTCGCCATACCCTGTAAATTCTCCCCATCCTCCTCAGCTCTTTTTTGCGGAGGCTCCTCCTTGGAGAGCCTCTAGGGGCCTCACAAAAGTTGTTTCGGGCTTTCTTAAGGCCTTCTGGAGGCCTCCTGGGGCCACCCTGCCTCCAGGGGCCTTCCTCGGGCCACCCTGCCTCCAACCGCCGTCTCCCTGAACGACCGCATCACGATTTGGAATTCTTCGACGGGTGTCTTTGGGCCATCTTGGGCCGCCATGGGGCTCTCTGAGGGCCATCTTGGACCCGTGTTGTGCCGTTTTGGGGCTCTCTTGGACTGCCTGGAAGCCCTTTCGGATGGTTGTGGGGCGATTTGGGAGCCTCCCAGGCGGCTTCGGACGCCCAGAAGACCGCCGTCTTGGAGCGTCGGGAAGCCGAAAAGAGGAGAACCCCAAAATTCAACAAAAACCAACAGAAAATCAATGATGTTTGCCTCGGGGGGCCTTCTTGGGAGTGCTCTTGGAGGCCTCTTTGGGGCCGTCCTGGAGGCCTCTTGGGCCATCTTGAGGTCACGTAGGTCACTCTTGGAGCGCTCTTGTGCTGTCTTGGGGGTCTCTGGGACGTCTCCGATGACCCCCCTGATCGCCCTGGGTGTGCTGGGAAGGCTTGGCAAAACGCCTTGCGAGGCCCGGTGGCCGCTTCGAGGCCCGTCCGGAGGGCCCCAAAGCTCCAGATCCCGGGAGTCCGGTTTTGCGGGGGGGGGGTGATGGGTTTTCCCCCCGCCCGGGCTTACAAAATTATAGAAAGAGGAGAATATATATATATATATATATATATGTATATATATATATATGTGTATACATATATATATGTATATATGTATTCCACTTTCTGGATTTTTTATAAGCCCGGGCGGGGGGAAAACCCGTCACCCCCCCAAAAAAACTGGACTCCCGGGATCTGGAGCTTTGGGACCCTCCAGATGGGCCTCGAAGCGGCCACCGGGCCTCGCAAGGCGTTTTGCCAAGCCTTCCCAGCACACTTAGGGCGATCAGGGGGGTCATCGGAGACGTCCCAGAGACCCCCAAGACAGCACAAGAGCGCTCCAAGAGTGACCGTCGTGACCTCAAGATGGCCCAAGAGGCCTCCAGGACGGCCCCAAAGAGGCCTCCAAGAGCACTCCCAAGAAGGCCCCCCGAGGCAAACATCATTGATTTTCTGTTGGTTTTTGTTGAATTTGGGGGTTCTCCTCTTTTCGGCCTCCCGACGCTCCAAGACGGCGGTCTTGTGGGCGTCCGAAGCCGCCTGGGAGGCTCCAAAATCTCCCCACAACCATCCGAAAGGGCTTCCAGGCAGTCCAAGAGAGCCTCAAAACGGCACAACACGGGTCTAAGATGGCCCTCAGAGAGCCCCATGGCGGCCCAAGATGGCCCAAAGACACCCTCCGAAGAATTCCAAATCGTGATTCGGTCGTTCAGGGAAACCGCGGTTGGAGGCAGGGTGGCCCGAGGCAGCCCCCGGAGGCCCCCAGAATACGCCCAGGAGGTCTCCAGAACGCTTTCAGAAAGCCCGAAACAACTTTTGTGTGAGGCCGCTAGAG